TATTGCAAACATTCACTTTAGAAGGTAAGAAAAAAAATTCAATAGAAAATAGTATCAGTTTTGAGTCTTATCAATGCATACCTGCAGTATATAGTATACATTTCATACCTTATTCAGACTGAAGATCATAGGGTTTGGAAAGAACGTGATTGTCATGTTTCTTGTATATGTAGTAATGCTCAAGAAACGTAACAAATTTTCCCTGAAGAGTCATCACATGAAAAACTGATTTCTGCTGCTGTAAACTGTAGTATAAGTGCCTGGATGTATGTCACTAGCTTCCTTTCCAAAAATAAATTTTAGTTCGCTAAAAATTGGTTCCTGAATAAAAATCGCCCCCTATGGTATATTTGCTTGTGGGGGTGATCTGCGAGTTTTGAGTAAACGCCTAAAGTACAGTTAATGGTGTCATTACAGACAACGATGGCTGTCCCCAGATAGGATTTTTAAAAGCTCATCTTTTCCCCGATTTATAAAGTCGCCATCATGACCACATTGCAATAATGACGCTGTCAACCCTCATTCGATTTGGTCGTTGTCAAAAAGCGAGAGCAGCAAGAACGGCTTTCTCTTAAGGCCGTAACAGCGCCAGCAGCAGGGAACGGGATCCACCACCTGGAGCCGTACTACGTAGGAGCTTCCCGCCACGAAAAAAAAAGGTAGCGCAGACCGACGAGGCTGGATTTCCCGCCGACCTTCGCTCGCGACTCGGCTCGAATTTTCCTCGAGTGACGGGGCGGAAGCAGAGGAAGAGAAACTCGTGGTTGCTATGGCAACCTTGACAGCCGGGAACTTCAGTCGACGGCCCGGCTGGAGAACGAAGCATAGAGTACTTCCGGCAGCAGCGGCAAGAGGGGAGATTGTAACCGGAAGAGGTTGCGCTTTGTTTGGAGCAGAAGAGGTCGGAGTGAGGGTGAGTGGGTGGTGGTGGAAGTGTGTGTGTGGGGGGGGGATCGGCTCCCTCGTGGGCCTCCAGCGTCCCCCCATTTTGCCTAGAAATGAAAGGCGCGTCCTCTGAGAGCCTCAGGGACCGTCCTGTCGAGCTCCTTCCCGGGGCCTTTCACGGGAACCCCCAGCTGTTCCCAGTGGGGTCTTTGACCCTTCCCCAAAGCAGACTGAGGTCTGCCTCGGTCTTTCCCTCCCAGGGGATTTTTGTTTAATTTTTCAAGATTTTCCTTCCGGGACTTGAGTATATAAGAGTTTGTACAGGGCTTGGATAATTAGCAGAAAGCTCAAAAATAAACTAGAGAGTAACCCTGTATAGCAGTGTTTCTGCCCTAAGCAAGGTGTCCCTTCACCACTGAAAGTAAGTTTTAAGATTTTTTAGATTAAGTTTTAAGAATATGCAAGACTTCGACCTGTCATCAGCATTTGACTCATTTCATAAATAATTTGATGGGGCTATAGAACTCGGCGTTATGCTTCTTCTCCTTGCGAGGTGTGTATGGGAACACTGTTGCTTTTATTAAAGTATATATGCTATCAAACTATAAAGCCAGTATTTTGATATTATAAAAAATATACAACGGTGACATGATAACATAGGTTGGTTCTTTTAGATGTTATGTTTAGATGTTAAGGAATTTCTCAAAAGTTTCCTAAAATTTCTAAATAAAAGTATAATTGATAGGCTTACTCAGTGATGCCTTGCTTTCCTCTGTATAAGCCATAGAAGGGAAACTGAGCACATCCTATTTTCAGTTTGTGTGACATTAGTTACAAGTGTGATACAAGCCTGATACTAAGCACATCAGGAAACTTAAAGCATCCTGTTCTCTGCAATATTTGAAGTCTCAATAGCAAATTTTCAAGTATTCTCTGCCAAGTTGGAAGCTGAGAAGCCCCTGGAATAATTTGAAACATTGAGACTAGGATTGTGTAAGAAAGTGTTGATCTTTCTCTCACATTTAGTTACATATGTATAGAATTTCCATGTCTTGTTATTTGCCTTTTTTCCTTCAGGTCTTGGGGCCATAAACCATTCTGGAATGTCTTTGAAAAATTTATATCACAAAGGTAAAATTCAGATTAGAAATATGTGGCTAAATATATCTGTTGCTAATTAAATATTAAATGTTCTTAGTTTAATGGGACCTTAAAATCAATTTACAATCATGTCATAGTTGTAATTTGATTTCTGGACTGAGTACGGGAATTTCCTCAGTTTTTTCCAAACAGTTTGAAACTGGGAAAAGTATGATAATTAAAAAAAAATATGTTGCTGAGTATGTGGGGGTTTGTATCTATTTTCACTATTTGAAATTGGCATTTGAACTGACACCTGTTACTACAGCTTCATATAAACAATGGTATTGTGATCTTAATGATGGATGATAGAACAGGCACTCAAATTCTTTGCGCTTTTATGGCATTGATTTAGTACAGCTTTGATTTCAGGTAATGGTTGGTAGGAATAGGTCTTTAGAACTGAATATGCAATCAAAGTAATTTGCATAATCTATATATTTAAGTAATTGAGGTAATTATATCTTTTATATGGTTATAACATTTACAAATGATGCTATGCCCATGACATACATTGATGTAATTTGCAAATGTACAAATACATTTATGCAAGCGATGGAATAAATTCAATTAAATAATTAGTGAATGAGGTAAATTAAGTTAATTATCTTGACTACTTCAGAAGACCGTTATTTGGAGGGGAACTAAATTTCAATTGGTTGCATCCAGAGTTTGCTGAATGGGGCTGATCCAATTGAGTGTAACATTCAAGTGTATTGATGGTAGCCAGTTCTGAACTTAATCTGTCATGACATTTAGAACAGGGTAGAGATGGAAAGGGGAGCCAGATAGGTCTGTAGTTCACCTATAGAATGAATGTGGAACCTCTGGCAGCATTCTAACCCAGTCCCTCTAACCCAGTGGTTCTCAACCTTTTTAATGCTGCGACCCCAACTGGTCGTAAGTCGAGGACTAAACCGGCCGTAAGTCGAGGACTAAACCGGTCGTAAGTCGAGGACTACCCAACCGGTCATAAGTTGAGGACTTTCCCTGCCCGGGAGCGCTGCGCATGCGTGGTTCCGCCCCCTGCGCCGGCCGAGGCGTAGCTGGCAAGCGGCAGAGACGGAGCAGGCCGACCACCAGCTGGCCCAGCCCAAGGGAGGTAAGGCACCCGCCGGAAAAGGGGAAAAAAATAGCGGACAAAAAAAATGGCGGACAGCCTTGCTTGGCGACCCCCATGAAATGGTCGATCGACCCCAAATGGGGTCCCGACCCACGGGTTGAGAACCACTGCTCTAACCGGTGGAGCCTCAAGTCAGGCTCAACCTCCAGTGCCCCCTCCTTGCAGGAAGTCTTTCTTGCAGTCTTTTCCAAATGTGAGTGGAGTGCTTAGGCTGCTTTGAGATGAAGTACCCCTCCGTTCACACTGCTTCGTATCTTTGCTTTCTGGGAATTATGAGTGGCGGCAGCAGCTGTCAAGAGCTGGAATGCTGAATGCTCCCCACAAATCCCTAGAAGTCTGTGCTTAAAGTTCTCCAGTGAGAGTGCTTTCACTTGCCAGCTCCCAGGGAAATGCTACTTTAAGTGCTTATAATGCTTGAAGTTGCTTCATTTTCAATTTGAGTAACAGCTGCCGGGATGAATGGCGTCCATTCAATAGGAGAAAGGCCTGCCCCCCCCCCCACCTCTGTTCTTTATTTGAAAGTTCACATTGTTAGATTATTGTTGGTTAAACATAGCCACTTTAGTTGGGTCTTTCAGGAAAATTATGGAGTAGCTATATCATTCCAGTGTAAAGATGTATACCATAGACCAGGGGTAGGTAATCTTGGCTCTTTTATGACTCGTGGACTTCAGGCTGGCTCAGGAATTCTGGGAGTTGAAGTCCACGAGTCATAAAAGAGCCAAGGTTGCCTACCCGTGCCATAGACTATTGCAGGTGGACTGTGATTAGTGGGTATTTGATTTAGTGGAAATTATAAGTTGAAAGCAGGTTGCATTTTGTGAGGCAAAATTCAGTTGGTGCGAGGCTAGCGTGTAGACAGCTGAAGCTAGCTCATGTGTAGTTGCGGCTGGCATTTTAGATGCTAACTGACATATGTGCAAGATGGAGAAAAGGAAGGTTCCATTGGAGGAGAGCTTAAAAAAGGAGAGGGTCATTTTGGAAAAGCTACAGCAGAATACAGGAATCGGCAGGTGTCCTTTGGATATGCACTTATCCTGTAGCTTATTCTTTTTTAAAAAAAATATGATGAAATCTATATCCTATTTTCTATTTAGAAAATGGATAGGAATGATATTTAGTTTTTATTTTTTCTTTTTATTTTCTATAGCTATAACAAATATTTCTATATCTGTGACTTGTTAAAAAATAGAAGGTATAAGCACACTTTTAATCTTTTGTGGTTATATTTCATTAATAAACATATCAAAATTTCTATTTAAAAATTTTCATTGCCTATTTTTGTTGGGTTGGAAACAATTACCCTGTTTTTCTTAGAAATACCACGTCGAATAGTGTAAATTTGAATAGTGTGACCACTGGTAGGATTCATAATCAGCACTAATCAAGGCCAACCTATATAATGAGTTAAAATAAAAAGGGAGAATTATAAAAACAACAAAAAGAAGGTATGAAATAGTAGAATGAAATTCTATATCCATCCCCTTTGGCAGAATAGGAGAAAATATTAAAACAGCGGTATTGAGGTCCTGTAATTTAATTAAATGCTGTAAAATAAAGGTACCAGTCGAGGCAATTGCCAATAGGTGAAAAATTGGATTTATACTAATCCATAACACAATTTGAATTTAGCTTAGCATGTTGTGTTAACCCAGCCATAGTTGGCTTGTAAACTGTAGGGTACAAATATTGCAATCACCCAGTCAACCGTTTATGCAGCATTTTTAAAAGGCGGGTTAATGCAATGTATGCATCTAACTACAAATAAATAAATACATACAAATATGAGATGTTAATAGCCTCTTTTCCCTTTCATTTCTTACTTGGTCTCCTGCACAGTTGCTTGATTTAAGGACGCAGCCGTGACAAGAAGATGCCTGACCGTGACAACACCTATAATGGCAGTGGTAGCGATGAGGCAAGCGCCAACTCCGATGACATCTGCCGAGATTTCCTGCGCAACGTCTGCAAGCGGGGCAAACGTTGCCGTTTCCGCCACCCTGACATCAATGAGGTGACCAACTTGGGGGTCAGCAAGAACGAGTTCATCTTCTGCCACGACTTTCAGAACAAGGAGTGCGTCCGGATCAACTGCCGCTTCATCCATGGAACCAAAGAGGACGAAGACTGTTACAAAAAGACTGGGGAGCTTCCCCCGCGCCTCCGCCAGAAAGTGGCAGCCGGGCTGGGCCTGTCCCCAGCTGACCTCCCCAACAGCAAGGAAGAGGTTCCCATCTGCCGAGATTTCCTCAAGGGCGATTGCCAGCGTGGGGCCAAGTGCAAATTCCAGCACCTGCAGCGGGATTATGAATACGATGCCCGGGGCTTGGCTACCCGGGAACAGGGTATCACCACCCCTGTGCGTCGCTATGACCCCTATGACCCAATGTATGACTCTGACCGATGCTATGATGACCACGACCCTGTGCTCAAAAGGCGGCGAGTGGATGGGCTCCACTTTGAAACGTACGAATACAACTTCACTAGTCCACGCACGGTGGAATATCGTCTTCTGGAAGAAGAAAACATCATGCTCCGCAAACGAGTAGAGGACCTCAAAAAGCAGGTCAACAACCTCCTGGCCACCAATGAGGTCCTCTTGGAACAGAACGCCCAATTTCGCAACCAAGCCAAAGTGATGAGCCTCAGCTCCACAGCTACAGCCACCGAGCAGACTCTGGCCCCGACCGTGGGCACTGTGACCAACTATAACCACAGCATTGCCCAAACTCACACGACTCTGAGCAGCCAAGCCCTGCAGCCACGTCCTGTCTCTCAGCAGGATTTGGTCGCTCCCGCTGGAGCGCAGGCAGCACCCCCGAGCAATGCAGCTCCTCCTATGAACCCCGAAATCACCCCACTGTCGGCAGCTCTGGCTCAGACCATTGCCCAGGGGATGGCTCCCCCTGTCTCTATGGCCCCCGTAGCTGTATCGGTAGCACCAGTGGCTGTGTCGATGGCTCAGCCTCTGGGGGGAATTACCATGAGCCACGCCACTACTCCCATGGTGACCTACCCCATAGCGTCCCAGAGTATGAGAATAACAGCCATGCCTCACTAGCCCACGTTCAGCGGAAGTGCCATCGTTCAGTCTACGCTGTGCTGTTCCTAAGTCGAGGATGGGCCCAAATCCTCTTGAAAGATAAGGCAAAGAGAACGATATTGATCCCGGAGGAGGATCTTGAAGCCTCTGGAAAGCTCACAGGGAAGGACTATAAACTTGGGTTGGCCTTTTGTCTGAAGGAGGCATATGGGCTGTCCCTTCACAATGAAAACAGCCCAGGCAACACAGAAAAACAAGCAACAAAAGCATTTGGAAAATACAGAGGTCTCAGATGTGTTTTCTCTGTATCTTATTTCTGTTTTGCTGTTTGTCTTTTCTCCTTGTAAGTCCTCCAGCTGTGCTTTTGAGTGTAAGAACTGAGCAAATTTTCCAGCCTGTGGATTGTATGTGGCTGAGCAGAGAGAAAATAACAATTCCTTCCCTGGTCCTGTACTTGTTCACAGAGTGGAGGACAACTTTCCTTAGCTCAGTCTGACGAAAGGGCAAAGACTTAATACAATAGCAGCGCAGCAGACTGAGCCAGCCTGAATTTTTTGCATTTTTTTTCTTGGGTGTGGAAAGGCAGGGATCCAGGCGCCTGGAAAATACTAACTTAAATTGTACTGGTTTAAAAGACGATGAACTGGAAAGAATTGAATTGTAGTAAACAGAACGTCTCTTCCTTTGGGGTAGATTAGATCTTAGTTCTGGAAAGAACAGGTTCAAAGCACATACACAGCAATGATAGCTTGACAGTTTGTGTAGTGGAGGCAATTGCGTGTGTTTGCATACATGTGTGAATCCACACCCCTCACGGATACACAACATCCACATAGATGGTATCTCTATGTGGCTGTTGAGGCTTTCAAAGAGTCCAGGGTTTAAGTGACAGGATCTCTTGATGCTGAACAGCTGAATTTCTAGTTGAAATGGACCAGGGGTAGGCAACCTTGGCTCTTTTATGACTCGTGGACTTCAACTCCCAGAATTCCTGAGCCAGCCATGCTGAGGGGAAAGGGAGAGGTTGCCAAGCTGAGCCATGCTGGCTCAGGAATTCTGGGAGTTGAAGTCCACGAGTCATAAAAGAGCCAAGGTTGCCTACCCCTCAAATAGACAAACTCAGAGCAGCTCACTTGTTTCCTTCACTTGCCTGTATTGCTTTCTGGCTGTTTTTAGTGTCTGAATTCGCCTCACAGCCAAGGACTCTGTGGTAGAACCCTTCCTGCTGTATGTCACTTCACTGTTTGTTTTGTTTTACAGGGCACCACTTTTTTAAAAAAAAAAAAATGGATACCTTCCCTCAGTGTGAGTTTTTGGTTTTATTTTCTGGGAGGTGGGAGAGTATTTTTCTTCTTTTGTTTTTTTTAACATGAACTTCAGCTCCTTCTCGAGTCTGAAGTAACTGTATTAAAACTATTTAAAGGAAATGAGAAAAATGTTTGATGACGCAGCTGTTTCTACAGTTAACTGTGTAAATGTTTTCAGCTATTAAAACAAATGTACAGACCTCACATATACTATATACGTGACTGATACTGTTGTGGTATGCAATACGTGTCCCATGTATGTGCTTATGCCCAAAGAACACCCAAATTATACATGCATTAAATGTAAACTGTGTGAACTACTAGAGGAAAAAGTAAGGGACTTAGAGGCAACTCTAGCCAAGCTCCATCCTACTCAAGAAAGCTATATCCAAACTGAACCAAATAATGAACAAATAACTCCCAGAGGATTTAACCCTACTGATAAACCCTTGGAAGAAGACAAATGGAGGTATGTCACACATAGAAGGAAACACTGATCAAAGAAAGAAGCAGCATACATCTAACAAATTCCTACTGCCCAATCTAATCCAAACAGAAGCAGCCCCATTAAAACTGAGCAATACGCAGACCCACAACCTCCCCCTTAAAGAAAACATGGGGACACCTAGCAAAGAAAACACCAATTATCCCTTTAAAAAGTCACATAAAAGATAAACAGAAAAGCACCCCAGAGTGCACCCTCCCCCCCAAAAGGAAGGTGAGCGTTGGTAATAGGAGATTTTATCCTTAAAGGAACAGAACCATCCATCTACAGACCGGACATACAATCCAGGGAGGTATGTTGTCTCCCTGAAGCAAAAATCAAAGATGTGGCTGAGAACCTAACCAAAATAATTAGGCCCACAGATTACTATCCCCTCCTCCTCCACCACATTGGGACGAATGATACAATAAAGAACCTGAGTATAATATTGAGAGATTATAAGCAACTACTAGGCAATAAAGTTAAGGAGCTAGGAGCACAAGTGGTGTTCTCATCAATACTCCCAATGAAAGGCCAACCCCCATTGAGGGAAAAAAGAATTCTAGAAATAAACCACTGGCTAAAGGGTTGGTATCGCAAAGAAAACTTTGGTTTCCTGGATCATGAACTGCATTTCAGTACAATTTCAGGGGAAATTGTACTCAGAAAAAGACTGGCCCAACTCATCAGGAGGGCTTTAAACTAAAATTGAGGGGGAAGAGTGACCATTGGAATATCTAGAACACAAAACCAATCATGAATCCCAAGAAAACTTTCTCCCCTTCCCCTTATTTTTCTTCTTCCCAAGCCTTAGCAGACCTGGATCAGCCAAGCAGGTGAGAGATGGGACCAGAAGTTGTGTGGAAGTCCCCTTACAGGTAGTCCTCAACTTATGATCAAAACTGAGCCAAAATTTTCCATTGCTAAGACTGGTTGAGTTTTGCTCCAATTTGCAACCTTTCTTGCTACAGTTGTTAAGTGAATCACTGCAGTTAAGCCCGTAACATAGTTGTGAAGTGAATCCAGCTTCCCCATTGACCTTGCTTGTCAGGAGGTCGCAAAAGGTGATTACATGACCCCTGAGACCCTATAACCGTCATAAATTCAAGCTGGTTGCCAAGCATCCAAATTTGGTCATATGACCATCAGGATACTGCAAAGGCCATTAGTGTGAAAAACAGTCATAAGTCACTTTTTTCCAGTATCGTTGCAACTTTGAATGATCACTGAATGGGTTGTAAGTCGAGGACTATCTCTACTTAATTTTATCATTTTAGCTGGAAGTCAAATGGGTGGACCAGGGTGTGTTCCAAAGTGTTAATAAGAACGTGCACAGACCCATCTAACTCCTAGGAGCGTCTGGTTTGTTTTGCAGAATCTGAGGCTAACAATATTTCTGGATTTGCTGAAAACAAAATATCTTCCTGCAGGTTTTAGCAATAGCACTTAGATTTATTGCTCCACAGTGTTTTACAACCCTCGCTAAGCAGTTTACAGAGTCAGCCTACTTGCCCCCCCCCCAAACAATCTGGGTTACTGACTTGGAAAGATGGAAGGCTGAGTCAACCTTGAGCCGGTCAAGATTGAACAAGATTGCTTGTTTCTGCCTGCAATATTGCATTCTAACCATTGTGCCACCACAGCTCCTAAGCTTTTCTTGTACCTTTATCATAACCCCTCACCCTAGTTGGATTTCCATCCAAATAGGATTCTTTCAATGTATTTTACACAGAATAGAAGATATGTTGGATTTTAAATGCTAGAGGCCTCCTAAACATTATGACCATCTCTGAATCTTTGCTCTGATCCAAGTCACGCAAGCGACACCCCGTGAGAGAATACTGTATGTAGTAGGTTTATTGCACAACTATACCCCAGTAAAGCACTCCCCAAACCTCTTGAGTCCAATTCTCCAAAGTGGCAGAAGCATCAGCATCTATTCACACAGTTCAATGAGCAACAATGAAACAACCCATTTGATGCATCCAGGAGCAAGACTCTGAAGAACAGCAGCAAAGAGAGGTAAACCAGCAGATGGTTGCCCATAGATTGACCTTAAAAGTTCCAAAGATGCACAAGTTGTAAACAAGTCTCATCAAGAAAATCCAGGCATGAGATATCCTGGCATGATTTGCCAAAGAACAGTACAAGTACAGTACAAGGAAATTCACGCTGCCCAGCACAAGAGCAAGGTACAGGGAAAAAGTCAATCAGGAAGCCAAAAACATTGCAATGGGAAAATGAACAGTTGTCTTTGACAACCACCAGATTCCCCAATGCCTGATTAAATCATTCCAAGCCTGGTGTTTCTCATTAGGAGGGGCACTACTGCTCCTCGCGAATAGGCTCACTGACCCCCCCCTCTGTGCTTCTGTTCCTTCTGCTCTCCACGCCTGTGGATTGGGCCAGGTTGGCAGCTATTCCTCATCAGAGGCAGCCTGCTTTTCAGAGCTGGCCTGCTGCATCCATGCTTCTCATTTTTCAGCTTACACAGGCAGCTGTCTGTCTGGTCAATTGCTCCCCACAACGCTCAACAGTCCCAGAACCAGTGGGTGGGATTAAAATATGTGAACAACTGGTTCTCTGTATGGATGCCGCTTCTGGAAGCTCATTCAGGGCCTGGGCAACAAAAAATTAGCTACCGGTTCTGCCGAAGTGGTGCAAACCGGCTGAATTCCACCACTGGCCAGAACTAACTCTTTGGAAATCTCCCGGGCCCAGTGGGAAGGAAAGGCCTGTGGAGACTCAAGGGGAGGTGAAACACTGGATGTCTTGGGGGTGGGGAGAAGCCTTCTGAGGCCTGGGCAAGCTCCATTATGGCCATATCTCAAGAATTATACAGGCATGAACAATTGATGAAGAGTGAAGAACAAGGAATACAGGCTACCAATAACTCCTTCATTAATATTTATGCAAAACTATTTTCCATTTGAGCCAAATTATCAGTTGCTAAGCCCAGTGGAGTAGAAAGCGTACATTATAATGTTTTAAAAATATTAAATAAGAGCCGTGGTGGCGCAGTGGTTAGAATGCAGTACTGCAGGCTACTTCTGCTGACTGGGGGCTGCCAGCAATTTGGCAGTTCGATTTTCACCGGCTCAAAGTTGACTCAGACTTCCATCCTTCCCAGGTCGATAAAATGAAAACCCAGATTGTTGGGGTCAATATGTTGGCTCTGTAAACTGCTTAGAGAGAGCTGTAAAGCACTGTGAAGTGGTATCTAAATCTAAGTGCTATTGCTATTGATTTCAGGAGATGCAGAAGAATATTATCATGAAGTGGTGATACATGGTCTTAGAAAAAGCTATATGTACTAAGCTTTAAAAGAAGTAGAAAAAGTATGACTAAATGCAGAATTAAAGGAGGAGATTGGGATGATTTTGAGGAAGGAACATGCCATCAGTACAAATTACTGAAGTATTCAAATGAGAGCCACAATGTGCTGTGGCTTTTTTTCCTCCTCCAGAACTGTGGTCTCCCCACTCTGGTTTGAGGTGTGTCACAGAGATCTATCATCTATCTGCTTCTTTTGAGCATCTCTATGTGAAGTCACTGTGGGAAGTCATCCATTAACATGGGATGCTGTATCTTCAGTATGCTTGATGATAATTGTTTATCTTCAATCCTGGATGACCCAAGGAGGCTGTGAAGGATCAGCCCCAGCATCTTGAAGCTAAGGGAAGCTGGATGGAGAAGGATAGGCATTGACTCAACCCTACTAGGTTTGAGCGTCAATGCATGTTGGGTAGCCAACTCTGGCAATTGGAGAATTTCCTATTTCAGCTGAGTTCTGGATGGGGCTACACAATCCTGATAAGCCCTGGCCCATAATTTGAGAGTCCTTCCGGAAATAAGGGGAATATACATGACTTTGCATATCTTGGCTCTGTTGGGAATAATGATTATAAAAACATTATTATATAATCAAGTATCCAGATGAACACAGTATTCCATGCAACAGATTTGAAGATATGAACTAGATATTCCAGAAGCTGTACATAACAGCCAATTCTTATATTATGGAAATAGAGATTTTAAGAGCACTTTTGATTATTTTTAAAAATATTTTTGTTGAACTTGACTCTTTAATGCAGTTTTGGTTGAGACAAACAAAGGTCTTAGGCATTTGTGATTTTGGACTTTTTTTTTTCTTTTCAAAATGGAGCAACAGTGTTACCTTTTAAAATAGTCCTTTACCAAATTTAAACTCCTTCATAAGCCTCTTCCCTATGGTCTGAAAAAAATAAATTATAATGGGATTAAAATTTTGCAATACACTTATGTGCAGAAATGTACAGATGTTGGTGTCATTTTCCATAGTATCTGCTCCTTGTATATAGTGCACATGAATCAGAAAAGCAATGTTAATGGTTGATTTATTCTCCAGCCGTTTGTTTCAATCTTGAAGTTTGAAGTTGTGTCAAATTTTGGTCAGTACTTTGGTTTGCAAAGACTACATATATAAGAAGAATGTTTTTCATTCTTAGTAATAGAGGTACAAAAAAGTGTAGGGAAAAAAAAGTCTCAAAGCCTTCATTCAGATGAAAAGAAAGTTGTGCACAGAAAGTTGAAATAAAGGACAATATACAACTGTTTCAAAATCTACTTTTATTCTTGATTTGTGTGAAGCTCTTATTCAGAAGAAATATAAAAGTCCTGTACAAATAGAACTAAAAAAATATGATTTCAATTAAGTTAGGTTAAGACTATCATTATTTTCAAGCTTTGAAATCCTGTAATGTTTCTCTTTGGATATCTTACTTAATATTCATTGTGTATCCTAAAACTAGGAAAAAAAATCTCCCTGTAATATAAAGCCCAAAATAAACAGGACAAAAGACAAAGCAGAAACCAAGTCCCTATTAATGCCCGATCATACAATTAGCCATTAATAATTTACTAATTTAACAACAAGCAGCACAGGAATGCAGATTAAAAACCTCCTCATCTTAAAAACATTTTTATCTAGATTGAATGAAAATGAACAAGTCAATGGAAAAAGTGTTTTCTATGGTTTTCCTTCTCCATGTTTAATTTTTTAAAAATCAATTACTACCCTGAAGAGGGCTTTGTTTTTATTAGAAAAAGAGTAATTTGGCATGTTTTACCTTGTACCATTTTCAATGCGGTACTAACTTGTGATAAAAATTAAATAAATATAAATACATAAAATAAATATTTTGTAAAAGAGCGTTACAAATAGACCACCTTTGGAGCACGCTGTTGGAGATTCTTATTTGTTCTGCACATATAAAACTACACATCCTAGTTTTAAAGATACTGGAAACAAAAACCACATCCTTCAGCATGGGAAGCAAATCCATTCATTTAGCTTCCCACAAGAGCCTGTGCGTAAAGAAAACTGGGTTTGAATGACCTAAACAGGACCCCAGTAACCATGTGCCTAGTTTCCCTATTCTTTTTAAAGGGTAATTTATACCCAAATCTATTTTCTCCCTACTAACTGTTCAATTGGGTGAAAATCTTACAGTGCAATCTTATACTTGTCTATTCGAGCCCCACTGAATTCAGTAGCACAGAAGTCCCCAACCTTTTGGGTACCAGGGACCGGTTCCGTGGAGAGAGGCTTTTCCGTGGACTGGCGGGTGCGTGGTTTTGTGTCCTGCCTGCATCTCGCGGATGGGGCTTTGCTTGTTTGTGTGGACTGGTTGCTGGCATGCTGCGGCCCGGTACTGGTCCACGGACCGGGGGTTGGGGACCCCTGCAGTAGCACTCCCAAGAAGAGTACAGAGCTTACGATTACAGTCTTAATCTGACAAACGAAATAAAGCACTTTTGTCAATTCTTGCATTTCAATTACACAGCTAACTACTCACATTCTTGAAAAGAAACCTGAAATAGCATTGGAATAATTTTCACCAGTTATGTAGAGTTTAACGTTATGATTCCATATCTGCAAGTTAGTAGCTCTGTACCGAAGTGGTCCATTTGTGATTGCAAGGACAAGTTGAGATCTGCCCAAACGTATTTGGAGACCAAGACCGGGGTGCTGGTTGTGGTGGTGGATGGGGCACATGTTTTGTATTGGATCTGGCATGTTTGAGCTACCCCACCTGCCCTTTACAAATTATTTCCCATCTGCTTCAAGTACACAAGCTAGCAGTGATACAATGTGGAACAGAGACAGCATGCTGCAGTTAAAAGGATCCTTCCTGAGAGATCCAAAAGGTGCTTGGCAATGTTATCGTTTCAATCCTTAAAAAAAAACCCAACACCATTCTGTGCAGTAAAAAGGCCTGAATGCCAGTATTAGAAGACCCTCCACGACAGGGGCCTCTTTGAAATCACAAGCTGAGATGGGGGATACCCCACCTCATTTTTCCTCTTGGGAATTCCTTTTGACTGCTCCTGCTTTAGAGACCTGGGTCCTGGTACCGTTCCGTCTCCTTTCGATTCAAATTCAACCTGGAATTTTCTTCCTGAGTCAGAGCAGGCAGAGTACAAGGCACGTTTGAGAAGTCTGTGTCTCAAAAGAGTTTGGTTTGGTTTGGTTCACTCTTTTGCAGTCTGTCAAGTCACCCTGCTAAGGCAGGCCGATTGCTCGGCCCTGTGATATGCAAGACAACTCCAACCGTCAAGCAGCATCTCCCAAAAACAGCTGCCTGGCCGAGTTCTGCATGTAATAAGGCTGAAACAGTCTTTCCAGGCAGCAGATGCGCATAGCATTGTAAGTGTGCAGCAGGAGATGAGGAAAACGCGAAGTAAAGTAGGCCACAAAATCATCTGGGACAGATCCCAGAGTCTCCTGTACCTCGGGAGGCAATTCTCGATAGTGATGTTTCTGTACGAAGAGGAAGAAAGGGACAAGGGTAACATATGCTCTCTTGGATTGAGAAGAAATGCATATTTTTAAAATGTAATCATTTGTAATAGTCTGCTTATTATTACTCTACCGAGCATTTTCCTCAGATTAGGGTATCCAAGATAGGAGAAACCTTTGACTTTCCAGGGTTTTTTTATTTATTTTTTACTGGAAAAATAAGCCTTTGTTTTTTTTTGTCCACCGCCATTTTTAATCATCTAAATCAGATATTTGGCAACTGCTATTTACCCTGCTAGGAAAAAGATCAACATTTTCTCCATTGTCACAAATAGCAGCATGGGGAAAACTGAGCAGGAAACAATACAGGTGGTCCTTGACTTATGACCATAATTGAGCTCGGAATTATGATCGTTAAGTCAGGGGTCTTCAAACTTGGCCCTTTTATGACTTGTGGACTTCAACTCCCAGAATTCCTCAGCCAGGCATGCCTGGCTGAGGAATTCTGGGAGTTGAAGTCCACAAGTCATAAAAGGGCCAAGTTTGAAGACCCCTGTCGTAAGTCATGAGACGGTCATTAGGTGGGTCACCAAGTGACCACGCCCGATTCTATAATCTTTTCTGCAGTGGTTGGTAAGAAAACGCTGTGGCTGTTAAGCAAGGTTGGTGGTCATTGTGACCAATGGGCGTCGTTTGCTGAAAACTGGAAGTCAATGACAGGAACTGCCAAAAAAAAAATGCCAAAAAGCATGCTCGTGTGTCTGCAGGATGCTGCAAATGGCTGTAAAATGCAAGCCGGTTTCCAAGTGCCCAAAATGCAATCACGTGATGGCAAGGTGCGGGTGCGGTTGTTGGAACTTCAAAAACAGGTCGAAAGTAGCTCTGGAGAGGCCTGGGTAACTTTGAATGGTTGCTAAGCGAGCCATCAAGCGAACAGTACATGTACATCCTCTTTTCTTAGAGCTGTTGCCCATGGTCACTTCAGGAAATTGCCTTTCATATTAACATTAAATGTTGGAAGATTTTTTTTATTTCGTGGTTCCCAACCTTTCTGGCTTTGCAGACTAGTGGGGGGAGAGAGGGGATGGTTCCACATGAGCAGCGGGTGAGTGCACATATGCAGCTCCATTTGCGCAGGCATGCGCACCCACACTTGTACAAATGGAGTTTTGTGCGCAGGCTCACCCTCTGCTCACATGTGGAGCTGTGCGCGCATGCTCGTGCTTGCCTGCTGCTTCCACGGCCCAGTTCCGAACGGGCTGCAGCCTGGGGACCTCTATTTTAATCAATCTTCTGCAGCTTATATATTTAGCCTTCCTCTCTTCAAATATAAATTTTAGAATGCGCATGATTTAGCTCCACCGTAATTGCAATCAAATTGCAATTGATGTGAATATGTGAGGGAGCTATGACAATGAATCAGCATCTCAGCATGTCTCTCCATATTTAGAAGCCAGAGGCGATCAGCAATCCCAAAACACACATACCTTGTTCCTCATTGCCCGCAAGAGATCTCTTACTGAGCCCCCTTTATAGGACCGGAATTTTCGAAGATCTGCAAAGAAGCACTCAAATTAAGACATTTAGAACGAACTAGAGCTATTCTTGCATTCTTGCTTTCGAGATAAACAATACAGTAAAGTTTGAAAGTAAGGAAAATAAAGTTGAACCTGTCTGTAGCGGGACGGTTATGTGCTCTCTCCAGTCCATCTTCACCACAGTTCTTCCTCCTCTCTCCAGCTCCTTCACTATCGGACCATCTAGAGATTCTTTTTCTATCCGGTCACTCACATCCTGCAATTAATATCAGACATTTATAGCCCATCAAGTTTGGCTCCAGCTTACATGGGCTCCCACCTCAAAAGCTCCTCCAATGGGCAAAGAAAAAGATGCTGTGGTTATTATTATTATTATTAATTTAATTTATATACCGCCCTTCTCCCGCAGGACTCAGGGCGGTGCACAGCATATTAAAACAAGTACAAATACAAAATACAAAAAATATAGACCCCTATAAAACCAAATTAAAAACCAAATATTAGAAGCTGTGGTTGCTTTCACTACATCCCTGCAGTTCCCCCCCCCATAATATGACCTATGCTTTGATAAAGCTCGTGGCCATGAGCTCAAGAGGAAGGAGCAGAAACTGAAAAAGAGACCTGCCCTGCAGACACCCTCCTTGCTCCAAAGGGCAGGTAGGCATTCAGCAACTGGCAGCAGGGCCTCAAATGTTGTGGTTGAATCAATGGGTGTTTTAGTTCAAGGGTGGCCCTGAAATCAGGACAGGCAAGGAAATAATTCTAGTTCACGGCCCTTGCTACTTAATTGCTAAAAAAGTTAGAAAGGGTTTGATCTGCACTATAAAGCATATAATATGATAACACGATAACGTAACAAACATAGCATAACATAACAAACCTAACAACACAACATAACATACAACATAACAATAAACACTCGTATTGATTTATAGATGAAACTGTATTTTTCACCCTAAGAGAAAGTTTAAATACAGATTTCCAAGCAGTCTGAACTGCTTTCACAAAAAAATAGGAATTTTGGGGGGTCTGCCAGGATTGTTGTCGCTAAGCAATGTGGTCAGATGACATCCTGCTTTTTTATTGCATCACTTAGCAATGGCAATCCCAGTCCCAATTGCCATTCAAATCTCTGTATTTCTGAATATAATGTAGTTCAGATTTATAGTATGAAAAGTTGAATAGCTGACAGGAAAAAAAAAATCATGACCAACCTGGAAAAATTGAAGCTGCTTCTCTAGGCTCCAGAAAAAAGGGTGCTTCAGGACACAATTAGCCGAAGGCCGTTTCTGAGGATCCATATTTATCATTTGCTCCATCAAGTCACGTGCAACAATGTCCTCTGTGGGAAAAACAGAACAAATTGGAACATTCAGAGCTTTTTTATAGACCTAGTATTTTCTCCCTTAGGAGACAGGAAGCCCAAACTACAATCCCAGTGCCTGAAATAAATAAATAAATAAATAACAGTTTCCTTCTATGACTGATTTGGATAATATATGGATAGATCCGAATGGCATTGCCTGTGTTTTGCTAACTGCTCCTGCAGGAAAAATTGATGACATTATCAGATTCCTTGGTCCAGAATGCTACTATTCATCGGTAAACCAAAGTATAATTTGCTGCATAATCCAAATGTAATCCAATCCATTTTTGTGGGAATTGCACAATGCGCCCAAAGTCGTTTTTCAGAGAGAGATAGGTGGCACATACATTTAATAAATAAATAAAATGCATTAGATTAGATTAGAGATTGGATTGCTGTGGTTCAGCTACTTAGGAGCCATCATCATCATCATCATCATTCTCAAAGCTGAAAATTAGACTGGAGGACAAAATAGAAATTAGATTCAGATATGAGTAATTTAAAGAACAGTTAAACATTTAACTACCAAAAGAAGGAAGAATCTAAGAATTAGGAAAGCCTAATTTAAAAAAAATATTGATTTAGCACCAGAAAAAATGAAGAAACTGTGGAGTTCATAAAGCAACAAATAATAGCAATCATAGGGAATCTTGAATGTTACGAGGCATGAATCATCCAATTTAAGCAAAATCTCCCCTCTCAATCACACCAGAGGCGATTTTACCAAAGTGTAAATGGCAATAGAAATTCTGGAAATGGAAACCCCCCCCCCCCCAAAAAAAAAAAAAAAAAAAA